CAATCCTCCTGCCTCAGCTTCTGGAGTAACTAAGATTACAAATGCGCACCACCACACCCAATAAAATTGGTAAATTTCTAACGAGGTAGTATCAACAGTGTAAAAAAATTTCAGTTACTCACTTCAAGGCTTAGAACTGTTAAGTTTCATTTTGGCATCTTAGTCACTGCCAAGTTTAGCCATCCTAACGGTCAGGTAGAATTTCATCATGGATTTAATTAGCATTTCCCTCATGATTAATGCTGGGGAGCAACTTCCGTATTTATTTCTATTTGAATTATTGAACCATAAATATATTTTTCCAAGTTGTGGGGCTGCAAATTTAGTTCAGCAGTAGAACAGTTGCCTAGCAAGCTGGAAGCCCTGTGTTTGGTCCTAGGCACCAAAACCAAAAAATAAGCCTTACCAAAACAACAAGTGGGGCTGAGGAGATGGCTCAGGGAAATAAGTACTTCCCTGACAAGCGCAAGGGCCTGAGTTCAATCCCTGTGTTCTGCCAAAAAAAAAAAAAAAATTTTTTTAAACATTACATAAACCAAGCTGGGGCTTGACACTGTCAATGGTATCTTTTGATAAACAGAATATTAATTCTAATAAAGTCCGATTTGTCTATCATTTATGATTAGCATTCTCTTTAAAAATAAAGTATCCCATACTGGGCATGGTGGTACACACCTGTACCCACAACAACTCTGGGAGGCTGAGACAGGAGGATCTCAACTTTGGACCCAGCCCTAGCAATTTAGCAACTTAGTAAGAGACCTTGTCTCAAAATAAAAAAGGGTTGGAGATGTAGCTCAGTGTGAAGGCCTGAGTTCAGTCCCCAGCAGAAAGGAGGGAGGGAGGGAAGGCGGGGTAATATTTGCAAATACCAGTTGTGTCCCACAAGGATATCCAGTTAACTCACGCCACTTGTGAAGAGCCTGTTTTCCCTCCTCAATATCTGGATGTTTCTTTATGTGCTATATGGAATTACTGAATATGTGCGGGTGTTTGTGGACTTGCTTGTCACCTGGCCATCTGTCTGTAACCGCACCAACAGCACCACTTCTGGGCCAGCCAGATAGCTGAGCGGACTAAAGCAGAGTGCAGTGGCCTGGCCACGGGATATGCCAACCCACCCCTGGGGCGTGCTGAGCAGGGACTGAAACTGGGTAGTGGCACATGCCTGTAATCCCAGCACTTGGGAGGCTGAAAACAGGAGTCTCACTATGAGTCCAATCTGCGTAGTGAGACCCTGTAGACCATGTACTAAATAATTCAAAAAAAAAAAGAGCATTACTTCATTTATACTGCATCTTGCTGTGTGCTAGTGGGACGACTCTTCTTTTTTTTTTTTTTTTTGGCGGAATGGGAGACTGAATTCAGGCCCTTGCACTTGCCAGGGAAGCACTTATTCCACTGAGCCATCTCCCCGGCCCCTAGGGGGACTCTTCTAACACTTCCTCCTTTAGGGCTGTTTTGGCCTTAAGCCCTTTGCACTTCCACACAAACCTTTCCATCAGTTTGTCCATTAAGACACCTACAGGATTTGAGGAAAACAATATGATACAGCTTTCTATCACTTAGTCTTCAGATTTACTCACTGCTGTTTCGCAGTTTTGAGCATCATTAGGAAGATGTACTCCTAAATATTTTGTTTTTCATGCTACTGTAAGTGGGGTTATTTCAGTTTTCAGTTTTTTGCTACTATACTTAAACAGCTTGATTTTGATCCCCTGACTTTGTTTTTTTTATTTTATTTTATTTTATTTTTGGTGGAACCTGGGATTGAACTGAGGTCTTTGCACTTGCCAGGGAAGCGCTTATTCCACTGAGCCATTTCCCTGGCCCCAGATCCCCTGACTTTGTATTCAGTGACACCAACCTAACCAGGTCACCTGTACATAACAGTCTTAATACCTTTTTTGTTCTTTATTTATTTATTTGGTGCAGGGTCTCAGTATGAAGTATGGAACATAGTGATCCTCCTGCCTCAGCCTCCCCAGTGCTGGGATCCAGTTTCAGTACCCAGGGCCGAATGGCGTGTGATACCGGGTGTCACGTGTGGTATCGGGTATCGAACCCAGCAGGTCTGGCGCTTAGACTGCTGAGCTATCTCCCCAGCCTGTTTTGCAGCCTTCTGTATTTCTCTCTCTTCTGTTACTGCGCTTGCCAAGATTCAGGCTCCATTCCTTTTCTTTTTTCTCTGGGGAGCTGGGGGGGCGAGCCGGGCGTCCCTCTGAGTACTGAACCCCAGCCTCCATTTGCTCCCCTAGGTCTTTCACTCAGATTAAAACACAAAAGAGGAAGGAGACAGCACTGGGGCATGGCCTGGTTCTGGTCGCCACCTAGTCCGATGTCACAGTGCTGTGTCACTGTGTTGTTTCTGCAGAGCTGGAAACACCATGAGTTCTTACACTGCAGCTGGGGAAGCTCAGAGGCAGAGGCAGGAGCACCACCCGGCAGAGCAGGAGGCCAGGCACTGGGGGTCCCTAGTCCCCCTTTCCAAGGTCCCTGTGGACTGGGGATGAAGGTTTAATCTCAATCCCTTGAAGCTAGTTGTTCTACTTCAGATGCAACAGAAACCCAAACTCATGGAGGCTGAAATCAATTTCTGTGCAGGAGGAGGAGGCAAAGGTGGCAAACCCTTTACCTGAAAGGCCTGGGACACACCGGGATTCAGATTTAGGGATTTACCAAAAAGTAAGTTCTTGGCTGTCCTTTACCAGCTGAGCATCCCTAATGTGAAACAACTGAAAATCCTTTGAGCAGCAACAAGATTTTCCCATCAGGCTTTCCCAAATGTGAAAAGAGCTGGGTAACCCCCAAACGACGGCTGAGGGGGCTGTCACCAACCATGTTGCAAATCTGCCACAGGTAGTGCGGGGGCACACACCTGGAATCCCAGCATTCAGGAAGCTGAAGCAGGATTGTTGTGAGTTCAGAACCAGCCTTGACTACAAACTGAGCTCAAGGCCAGCCTGCGCTGCACAACAGACCCTGTCTCAAAACGACAAGCAAGCAAGCAAGCAAGCAAAGCAGTATCCGGGGAGAACGTACCCAGAATGAATGCATCTGTGTATCCAAGAATAATGGGGTTTTTTTGGATATCTTTTTGTTGTTGTTGTTTATTTAGGGCAGTGTACTAGAGATGAACTTAAGGGCTTTAAGCATCTCTCACTGTGAGTTTCTCAGGGCATCGTAATAAGTTTCCAGAAAGCAGCTGGGATGATCAGAGCTCCTGGCAAGCGGACAGCTCTGTGCAGTCCCAGCGACAACAAAATAAAAGAAAATGGAGCCCGAGGCATGGATGTCCCCTCAAGAAAACAATTTCCTAGATATATTAATTTGGTAGGGTTTTTCATAGGGCCCAGGTCTATTTTCAAAAAAAGTGGTCTGGGCCATCCCTACACACTGTTATGGAACTCAGTGCCTGTGCGCTTGGGTGCAGGAAGCCGCACGTGCAAACGCTCCCCAGACATCGGAATTAGAAAGGGGATTAGGATTAGGGCTAGAGTTAGGGAGATCCTTGGAAGTACCGCGTGTCCCACAAAGACGGCCCAGATCCTGGGCGTGGGACTCGGGGCGCCCGGTGCTGCGGCCTGGGGGACCTCACCTTCACGTGCTCATAGTAGCTCCCAGAGTTCAGCGACGTCGCTCCGTGGAACTCGGAGTCCTTCAGGGCCTGCTGCAGGCGCTTCACCAGCTTTTTCACCTCCTTGGACGCCCAGGAGAGCTCCTCGAACTTCAGGCGCAGCCGGTCCAGCACTGCGCGGAGCTGACGGTCGTCGGGGGTCGCCTCGCTCTCGCCAAGACTCGCGCCGAGCTCCAGGGACCGGACAAGGGTCGCGCGGGAGCACGCCCGGGAGCGGCGGGCTGCGGGCTTGGGGGCTGCGCGCTCCTCCTGGCGGTCGTCCTCCTCCTCTCGGGGGTCCCGGAGGTGCTCTTCCTCCTGCCGGGGGTCCTCCTCCTCCCGGGGACCCCGGGGATGCTCTTTCTCCTCCTTCTCCCCCTTCTCTTCTTTCTCCCGGAGGCTCCGGGCTGGCCTCCTCCGCGCCGGTGTTGACCCCGCAGGCGGACCGCGCAGTCCAGGGCGAGCCGGGGTGGGAGCGCCTGCGAACCGAAACTCGCCGGGCTGGACCGGGGCGGCCTTGGGAACCAGCTCCGGACCCCCGAGAGAGGCGCCTCGGGCCTCCGGAGCCGTCCGCTCCGTCTTTCGGCGCCTCGAGGCCATGACCAGCGCGCTCTGCCCTCAAGGAAGAGCTGCCTTCGCGGAAATGCGCCGAGCTAGCTTGCAGGAACCGCTGGAAATGAAACTTAGAAACTGGCGCGCAGGGCGTCTGGGACCGGGAAGGAGCCCGAAGCCCCGCCCCGCCTGGGAGGAGCCCCCACTGCAGGGCATCACCCCAACTGGAGCCCGGGAGGAGGACCCAACCCCGTAGCTGGGGGTCGGGAACCTGAGCACCTTGGAACCACGCGAGCAGGAACCCCAGGGATCTGCCAACACCCAGCGTGATTCCCGAGCACCACCTAAATTTATTGTGGAAAACTCCATGCTTTTGCATAGTTGAAGTAGATGGAGAATTTGTTTTACAATGTAAGCTAAAGTAAAGGCACTTTACTTTTAATGGGAAAGAGAAACATTGAACCTTTAAGAGATGAGGCTTGATGTATTACAATACTGAATTACATTTTATTAAAGTTCCTGTCTAGACTGTTTTGCTTTTTCTATGAGTTCCTCATTTTGTGTTTTAGGACTCAAACGCAGGGTCTGAAGGGTTTTGTTTTTTGGTTTTTTGTTTTTGTTTCTTTGGGGTTGTTTGTTTGTTTGTTTTAAAATTTTATTTCTTTGTGTCTGTCTGTGTGTGTGTGTGTGTGTGTGTGTGTGGCCAGCTCAGCCCACCAGGGGGCGGGGCTGGCTGGCATGTGGTGCTGGGGGATCGAATCT